GGCAGGCCGGCGGCAGGCAGGTGGGCGGCGGGGCAGGTGGGCAGGTGCACCTGCACCTGCATCTTACGTACTGCAGCCCAGATTCTGAGAACCTTCTGGACTTTGAACGTTTAAAGGACTTCCAGCACGAGCAGGAATTTCAACTTATTTGTTGAAATTCACTAATTGCTCGATAACATCATTTCCTGGGTTGAGGGTTACATTGTAGTGCACGGGGGGAGGAAGGGACCTGAGTATTCTCCAGGGGAGGGTTTACCTTGGGCATGTGGACAGTTATGGCGAGGGACCCGGAGCAGCCAGCTCGGATCAGAATTTCACGTTGCAGGAGAATCCAGTTTGGAAAACCCCACTGCAAACCCACAGCTCCGACCCGGCCTCTCTTGGCCTGTCTCCGAGCGTCTCATTTGTAATCACTACGTGTCTTGCTCAGAGGGGAGTTTATATGTTTTTTTTTCCAACTTTATTTTCTACCATACTCCCCCAACCCAGGGAAGTCAAGAAATAATGACAAGTGCATTTGAGGGAGGGGCATTTTACGAGGACATCATGTATTGATGCAAGCACCCGAAGACATAAAGGGGTCTCCACATTTCCGCCTGGACAAGTGTGTAGAAAACACCGTTTCCTCTTCTGAAACAAGGCAGCTTAGAGCCTCTGCCTTCGGTCTCTACTACCAAACAGGCTTTTTTGTTGTTTTTTAATTAAAAAATGACTCTTTTCTGTAAATTTGTACGTGCTTGTTATGATGAGTCAAGCCATGCACACGTAGAGACGAAAGTAGGTCACACCGTCCCGAGGTGGCCGTCGTTGGCTCGGGTGGCCGTCCTTCCAGGCAGCGCCGCTCACGGACGGACAAATGGGCGGAAACCGCTGTACACGGGGGCCCGACCGTACATGCCGCTGCCGTGCGCCTCGTTTTTCTTTGATTATGAGCAGAAAGGGAAACTGAAGTGAAACTGAGCACGTGGAGAAAAATGTTTCCTTACCACAGAGAGATTATTTCCTGAAGAGATTTCTCTACGGTTAAGAAAAAGGATCGTGAGAGCCATCAAGGGACTGGTGACCCCATTTTTAGTTTCAAGTATCTGCCGGCTCTTGTGGCCACTGCGTTACGGTGGCCTCTGCACGCAGCCTCAGGTTCCCTGTAGAGATTTGTCACCAGCATTGAGGCTGGACTCGGTCTAAGGAGGGGGAGAGTCTGCAGCGTTGCCCGGAGTGGCTGCCTCCGGGGCCTTGCTGAGTGTGCTGTGCCTGTCCCCATGGAGAGGCCCCAGGCCCACCCCACCACCCACCTCTGCTGTGCAAATGACAGAACAGGGCTGGCTGTTTGGTCCCCCTTCTCCTCGCCTGGAACAGGCGGGGGTGGGGGCAGGGGCTACTTGCAGGAGAGTCTTTCTCTGCATCTAATGCGCGTCTGAGGGGTGCCCTGGGGCAGCGGGGGCGGAAGAGCTTTATCAGGTGCTTCCGAGGCTCCTCCCCACCTCAGCACCCCTGTCCCGGACGTTGTCCCGGGCCACTGTCCACCGGGAGAGTGCTCTGGCTGTGCCGAGTGGCCACTTAGAATTTACTGATTTATTTCAACGTGAAAACATCTTCCTGCCCAAAGGACATAAAAAATTACAGCCAGCTTAACGGTTGTCAGCTGGAGTTTTTTGGCCTCCGGCTGGCGGGAAACCTTGACTTGGCGTCTGTGTCCTGTGCAAACGGACGGCCTTCCGACTGCCACCCGCGCTTCCTCGTGTTGCCTCCCCTGGGACTTCCTCACATGCAGGAGCCTGACTTCGACTTCAGACGCTGTGACCGTGAGATTTATCTGTAGATGTGATTTCTTCGCGGTGAAACCATGAAGCAGTGACGCTTGGTGTACTGGGGAGGGCCTGGTACCCCGGAGAGCCGGGCTGCAGTGGGGTTGTCTGGGCTTTGGGATCTTCGTCGGTACCACCCTTCACGCGGTTCCAGCGTGGTCTGCCGTGCAGTGACACCTGGCAGCAGGCTGGGACTGCCTGTCACTGGGCGCCTCTGCACTGGTCACCTGGGGGGCCCACAGTGCTGCCTTTGCTTAAGACTTCGGGGGGAATCAGCTTCCGGAATTACCCCGAGATTCAGTGTGAGGCCCCTCCTCCCCCGGCTTGGCCTCAAAGGACTTTAATACGAGAGCTGCCGGTTGCGTCAGGACTTGGGGCGTTTATTGCTTGAGAAACACTTTTTCCCTCCACGTTTTGTTGCCCACCTTACTTGCCAGACTCGGCCTTTTTGGGGGTGGGTGGGGCTCTGACTCACTCAGCAGATCCTTACTGAGTGGCTGACGTGAGGGGTGCTTGGCCTGCCAGGGACGACGAGGGATCGCGTGTCGTTCGTAGTCCAGTGAGGGAGACAGCGCACAGGAAGACAAGTCGCACACTGATGGCCATCGGCTCAGGAGGGGAGCGGTGCTGGGACAGGGTGGCCGCTGGCTGACACTGGTCAGGGGCTCGGGGCCGAGGTGTGAGGCTGCGGCCCGTCCGTCAGACAGAGCCAGAGGCCTGTGGAGCGGGGAGCTCGGCTTGCTGTCAGGGCTGCCGGGGCGGGACCGTGGGGACCGGTCACCTGGGCCTCCGGTCAGGGCGTGCTGCCTCCACTCCCGCTGACGCCGAGTTTGAGGGTCACAGCGCTCCTGTCCCTCAGTTCGCAGCCTGACCGAGGGCCTGGCAGGCGATGGCTGCTCAGTAAATGTTTATTAAACAGAGGTGGAGTCGGCAGTGGCCGGGGCCGACTGTGGCCTTGAACACCTGCCCCCTGCTCAGCCATCGGATGAGACCGGAGAGAGGAAGAGCTCACCAGGGCATAGTTTGCAGTGAAACTTCACATGCCGAGACAGCCGCAGACCCACAAGCAGCCGTGAGAAGTGGCAGGCCCTGAGCGCCTTCTCCCAGTGTCCCTTGGAGGTGACATCCTGCAGAATTCACCGCAGGACAGTGACACTGCTAGGCTCAGGACAGGGGACAGCAAGACAGTGCGTCCCCAGGAGCATCCCTCACGTTGTCTGCTTAGAGCCGCGTCTCTGCCCCGACTGCTAAACCCGTCTCCATTTCTGTTATTGTCCCCTTGAGAACGTTGTGTACACGGAGTCAGAGAGCATGTGACCCTTCGCATTGCCTCTTTCCACTCGGCCTGCGTCCCTGGGGCTTCGTCCACGTTGCTGTGAGGGAACGGCGGGTCCTCTCTCACGGCTGAGTAGCGTCCCACGGCGCGGAGGTGGCCCGCTTCGTCCCAGCATCACCTGCTGCAGGACAGCGGGGTTGCTTCCCGCTTGGGCCATTCGGAGCCCTCACACGGGGTTTCCGGGAACGGCCTTCGTTCCTCTGGGACACGCGGCTGGGAGTGCAGCCCCTGGGCCTGTGTTTGCACGTTTAGCGTTAAGAGAGATGGCCGAGCTGTTTGCAGAGTGGCCGTGCGGTGGTTTGCTTCTGTCCATTCTTTGAAATGGCTTAGCAGTGGAAGAAAAGACACTTCTGCACAACTGGGGACACGGTGCGCAGGGTGGGCCTGCCGTCGGGGGCGCCCCCCACCCAGGCCTTTCCAGCCCCTGAATCTCCGTGCAGCTGCAGCATCAGCAAGAGACAGGTGTGTTCTCCTGCACCCGTTTCCTGGTGTTGAGCTAGACAGCGGTCCCCAAGCTTTGTGGCCCCAGGGACCGGTGCTCCTACGGGAATCTAATGTCTGGTGGTCTGAGGTGGGGCTGAGGCGGTGATGCTAGTGCTGGGGAGCAGCTGCAGATACCGTTGAAGCTTCGCTGCCCGCCCGCTCACCTGCCATGCAGCCCAGTTCCCAACAGGCCACAGACCGGTACCGGTCCGTGGCCCAGGGGTTGAGGACCCCTGAGCTAAAGGCTTCATTTTCTCTGTTAATCTAAATTCTCCATCTAAACACCGGTTTAAGCTGAGCTTGCTCTTCAGGTACCTGGGCCCAGCTCGTCTGTGGGAGATTGTGTGTCTGCTGGGCGTTGGGGCTTCATCTTTGTCCACTTCGCTATCCTACGTACGTGTGTGTGCGTGTGCATATGTGTGTGCGTGTGCACGCGTGCATTTGCATGTGCGTGTGCGCGTGTGCTGGGAGCTGGGCACGAGCCGCCGGCAGGTGTGGCTCTAGGGGGAGGGCTGCAGGGGAGGGAGGCAAGAATCTCTCCCCGGTCAGGAGGGAGGAAGTAGCAGCGAAAACAGACTGGGTGGGGTGGCGGAAGGTATTAGGGGGAGCACGAGATGACTGGCACGGGGTTGAAGAAGACAGGAGAAGCACAGATGGCTGAGCGTCGCATCTGGGCGGCGCGGTCGCCCCGGGCAGGCCGCGGTGGAGGAGGCCCGTCGGCCCCGAGTGGAAAGGGAACCGGAGCACGGCTGTGACGGTGTCTGTGTTTTCGCCTTTTTACTCAAGTGTTCTTCTGGCTGAGTTTTATTAGGTGTTCCTTAACTTTTTTCTCAGACTTTCCATTTCCTCCCTCACCCCTGAGATTCAGGTGGGTGGGCTTCTCGACCTTCCAAATAACCTGTCACTGCTGGAAAGATAGAGTGAAACCCCCGTGGGGCAGAGTCCCCTCCCCCAGCTTAGGCTCAGGCCCACGGACGTGGGGTGGCCGGGAGCTGGGCGGCCTCCCAGCAGACCAGGCAGAGCGGGGGCGGGCGTGGGAGAGAACAGGCTCCGTGTGCACGGACCGCAGAGCCCGTCTCCCAGGCTTTCGTGTTTGATCTCGAAGCCTGACTGTTGCGCCCGAGTTGATGTCACGCCAACTGGTCTCCGGCACAGGTGGCTCTTTAACTTTCCCTAGAGCAGCAGAAGCTCACTGTGAAAGGCTGTAGCCCCCAATCTTCACGGCTGTCACTCTTGCGAGCACAGTGGCAGCAGTAAGGAATTCCGGTCACAGCACAGCCACTGAAGCGAACGAGTCACAGACAAAGCCCGTCCTGCAGACGCGTTGGAAAGGAAGTGGCTTCGCTCTGTAAGAGCGCGAAGCAGTGTCCACACGTGAACTCGGGCCGGTGTCACGGCTGGGGGACTCAGCTGATAGAAGCCGATGGGTGGCCCCTGGGCGCGGGGGTCTCCGGGCACTTGCCCGGGCACCGGCACACTCAAGCTCTCGTTATCCTGTATGTTCCTTGCAGACACAGAATGTCCAGCTTAACAAAGAGATGACGCTCGCCAGCAACCGGAGCCTGGCAGAGGGGAACCTCCGGTACCAGCCGCAGCTGGACGCTCTGAAGGCGCGTCTGACCCAGAAGTACCAGGAGCTGCAGGTGCTCTTCGAAGCCTGTCAGCTAAAGACGACCAAATTAGGTAACGTTTTAGGGCCATCTTTCCAGAGTAAAGAGTGGAGGGAAGGACACACTGTAAAGTGTGTCACCAATTTAGAAGAGACTCAACCACTTTAAGTGAAATTCCACCTTCTCCAAACAGTATAGAAGAAAGGCAGTTTTCTGAATTGTGATATCCAACAAAGGGTGTATCCTGTGCGGTAAGGCCTTCAAAGTTAACAGAACATTTTAATGTCACACTGTAATTTGCAGCCATTATGAAGTAGGAGTGGAGCGTGGCTGAGTCCTGAGTGCTGTGGGTAGCTTTTGAGGAGACTTAGATGAAGAGGTTAAAAACCATCCCCTGCCCTGAGCTTCTCGGTGACATGGGACACCAAAACCCCCTCACTGCCTCCAGGACATCGGTGACAGTGTGCTAGAACACAGCCAGCCAGAATGCAGGAAGGGGAGCCCGTCCCCCCCGCCCCCGGCCCCGCTGGTGGAGGCCACAGTTAGGCCGCCCCGGGGAAGTGGTCTGGCAGCGCCTCCTGAAGTGACAAGCGTGCACGCCGGGGCACGTCCCAGGCAGCAGATAGGGACGTTCGTCGTCGCTTAGTTGTGACTTCTGAACTTGGCAGCAGTCTGAATGTCCCCTGTGGGCCGATGGGTACGGCGTGGCCCTTACACGGTGGCCTGCTGCACAGCAGTGAAGGACGCGGACCACTGGTGGGTGCCGCAGGGAGCATCGCCTCGTGGCTGACTGTGGCCTTCAGCGCCTGCAGGACCCTGGGGGGCGGGGGCAGGAGCCCTTTGCACAGCCCAGATGCTGACCTGGGCGTTTGGGATTCACGCTCTGTAAAAGGTCAGGTCCCACAGGTGTGCGCACTTTGTCAGTAACTCCTCAGATACGAAGGGACTACGAAGACGTGATTACGGTATTCCTGTCACATGTTCAGTCAGAGCTCCGGGGCAGATGGGGACACTGGTGCTCTGCGGCCTGTGTCCGCCCCCAGCACCTGTCACGCGTAGTGGTCCCTCTCCTGGGCTTCATGGTCTGGAAAGTGGGCTCTCAGTGGGTGTGAGTGATCCTATTGCCTTTGTAGTTAAAATGCTCTGAGGGGGAAATGGGGAGGCTTGGGGAGCATGTCCTTGTGGAGGGCAGGGCCCTGCGGGGCGCCCCTCCTCACGGCGCCCTTCCTCCTTCCAGATAAGCAGTCCAGCAACGCGTCCTTGGAGACCCTGTTAGCACTTCTTCAGGCAGAAGGAGCCAAGATTGAAGAAGACACAGAGGTAAAGCCAGCCAAGGCCCCAGGGCCTCCCGCGGCCGGGAAGTGGCGCCTCCTGGGTGTGCGGGCTGCACAGGAGCCGCAGGGAGCCTGGTCCACGCCGAGGGGTGCACGCTGCACTGTGAACACACTTCCTGCTCAGCTGCCGGCTGCTCAGAGTCGGCTGGTGGGGCGGAGCCTGTGGGACGCAGCCAGCCCAGCACGCGAGGCCTGAGCGTCCCCGGGCGATGGGGACATGAGCCAGGGTTGAGGGTGGTGCAGTGGTAGCCACTTGGCTGGCAGCAGGGGGTCTGATTTGACTCTGGTACTATGAATGTCGGGCCCGGGTGGGGGTCCGGGTGGGGGTCCGGGTGGGGGCCCGCTGACCCCGTGTCAGGGTGCAGCCGGTGGAAGGCTGGGAAGGCGGGCTCCCGCCGGCATGACGAGGGTGGAGCTGGGCACAGTGCCGCGGTGCCGCCCATCCTGCTGGGGCTTGCGGTTTGGGGGCGGTGGTGCAGATAGCAGCAGCCCGCCTCCCCCGGCCTCTCCTGGC